TCTGCCTTGTAATATGATTGTATAGCTCTGTATAGAAATATGGTTGTATAGCCCTGTATTGGAATATTGTGGCATAGCTCTGCCTTGTAATATGATTGTATAGCTCTGTATAGAATATGGTTGTATAGCTCTGTATAGAAATATGGTTGTATAGCTCTGTATTGGAATATTGTGGCATAGCTCTGCCTTGTAATATGATTGTATAGCTCTGTATAGAATATGATTGTATAGCTCTGTATAGAAATATGGTTGTATAGCTCTGTATAGAAATATGGTTGTATAGCTCTGTATAGAAATATGGTTGTAGAGCTCTGTATAGAAATATGGTTGTAGAGCTCTGTATATAATATGGTTGTATAGCTCTGTATAGAAATGTGGTTGTAGAGCTCTGTATGGAAATATGGTTGTAGAGCTCTGTATATAATATGGTTGTAGAGCTCTGTATGGAAATATGGTTGTATAGCTCTGTATAGAAATATGGTTGTGGAGCTCTGTATGTAATATGGTTGTAGAGCTCTATATAATATGGTTGTATAGCTCTGTATAGTAATATGGTTGTATAGCTCTGTATAGTAATATGGTTGTATTGCTCTGTATTGGAATATGGTTGTATTGCTCTGTATTGGAATATGATTGTATTGCTCTGTATTGGAATATGATTGTATAGCTCTATATAGTAATATGATTGTATAGCTCTGTATAGTAATATGGTTGTATTGCTCTGTATTGGAATATGGTTGTATAGCTCTGTATTGGAATATGGTTGTATAGCTCTGTATTGGAATATGGTTGTATTGCTCTGTATTGGAATATGGTTGTATAGCTCTGTATAGTAATATGGTTGTATAGCTCTGTATAGTAATATGGTTGTATAGCTCTGTATAGTAATATGGTTGCAATATAGCTACGTTTATTGACTATCTCTATTCACTAATAACTCAATGCGTCTGAAGGCTTCTTATATACAATAACATAATGCAACTGTGTGCAGTACAAGTATGTCTATGGACACTCTTGCCATGGTGTGAATAGATTCTAATCTATGCATGCATTTTAGTGCTTCGGACTGTTGAAACTAAATTCAAAATGCTCAAAATATGTTTATTAAATGAGTGTGAA